CATCTGACTGCTGTGCCTGCAGAGGAAAAGATCAGGAGGGTGACGATGAGTGCGAGGAAGGGTAGACGACAGACTGGTTGAACGTCAAAGTGACCATAGATGAGAATCGTCTTTTTGGATTTGTCGTCACCGATCCTTCCCAAGAGGGCGGGCGGAAGCTTCAAGTTGTGGCCATCCATTATGTGGGTACCAAGCTCGACGGCTTTGGTCTCGACGCCGTATTGCCTTAACTGCGACTCCAGGTACGACGACATGCGGAAGACATCGTCGCGGTGAGCAGGATCTCCCGACACACTTGTGCGAATCAGCATTGGGGGCGGCACCCATCTGGTGGATACGGTACCTCGGGATCTCGACGGCGCGCGCAAGACGCTGGATGAATCTATCCTTGTTTGTGTCTACAAAGTCGAGCAAGTCTGCGGGGGCTGCCATAGCTAAACTACCACTCGATCGACGGCCGAGGATGGACCAGCGCTGGCCACGGGGGCGTGGGAACGCCCGTGACAACACCCACTCGAGCGTGACCATCTGCGTCATACGGCACCGCTGCTCCTCGGCCCCAGCGGTCTGTCCCCGGGCCGACCGCCGGAGCCAGGTCTCTGCCGCCACGCCTCTGTCCTCCGTCCCAGCCAGCCACCATTGATAGTACCACCATGAGCTCCCGCACTCTCCCAGTGGCGTGTTAGCGTCCGGCGATATCCCCTTCGCCGCGGGTGCCGCTCGGTCGTACAGCCACACGCTAAAAAAGTGCTCGGGATAAAGGAGCAGCATGCCGTTGATCACGTTCTCGTCCTTCCCCACGAATTGGCTCCGTGCCAACCACATGTAGTGGTACATGAAGAACAATTGTCGGTATCGCGTGACCGCTCTTGGTCGGCCGCCGAAAAACGAGCCTGGTTCGTCGACGTGTTAATGATGTCAACCCTTCCACTCGTCCGGTCCTTCTCACCTTCGCTGAAACTCTCCCCGGGATCCAACGGCCCCGTCTCTTCTTTCCAGGTCTCGAATTCGCGCCCAGGTGGATTCCACATCGGGATGAATATTATGTCGTCTTTTGGCGACCCTGTCTTTATCTCACCCAGGATGAACAGCTTCGCGATCCGTGCGGGATCCGGCCATGCGCGATACTGCCAATCGCGCATGCTCCCAGCGTCGTTCCAAAAAACATAGTCGTGTGGCCGCCCTCGTTGTGCTGCAATGTTCCGCATACCCTCGTCGAGAAAGTAGGCCTTGGCGTTCCACACGGCGTACAGTTCCGGCCGTGCATGTCCTTTTCCCGGTCCCAACTGTGCATCTCCTCGTACCGCGTCTCCAATCCGTGCATTGGCGGCACCTCGAACGGTGAGCTGAATGTCGTGTTGAGCGTCAGGGGCAACTTGCCTCGTAGCCGTTTGACGAGCGGTGCGATGTCTGGCGGGCAGAACAAGTACACGTCCGTGGTGACATGACTAAGAAAGTTGCTTAGCCATGTCTCGTAGTCGGACATTGGGTGTTTTGACTTGGACAACGGGAAGAAGGCCGAGACGAGAAGGATCTCTTGTCCTTTGGCGTAGGTCGGACGGAGGTGTGATACCAGTCGATGGCCTCCAAAATGGCGGAACGTGGTCACAAGCAAGCCAACGACCGCGAACGCGATCAACACCGTTCGACGACGAATCGGAGAACGTGGACGGCGACGGCCTTGCGGGGCGAAGGTGTTGGTCATGGTCGGGCCCAAGTCAGTTTTGGGCCTCAATCTGGAGACTTGGACTCGAGTTCGTAGAGGGGGAAAATTGTGTCAGGGTGCCAAATATATTATTTTTATACTTACAAATGCCCTCCGATACGCAGCGCGATGAACCCGAGATCAACTGCGATGCCGTCGACGCGATGGCCTTTCTGGACTGATTGTGGCGCGGATTTGCCAGGTCTCGGAATAACTTACAGGTAACTATTGCCATAGACACACGAGGTTAATTGCGATCAATCACAGTTAGTCGTGGACCCCTGGATGGCGAATGTTGAAGCCCGAGTTGTGTGTTGTGTTCACCGCTCACTCATAACGGGGACGAGGTTGTGCCTCCCCCCAAACACAACATCGATCACTTAAATCTACATTTTTAATTGTCAGGTGGCACGCCCGCGGATCTAGCGCCTAATTGAATGTGATCGATATCCTAGTTGGCCGAAAATTATCACGTTTCACTCGTCACTGGCGAGCAATTTCAGCGCGGTTCTGGGCGCGGAACGGTGGCACCTCGGACTTGTCTTTCTTCTGTTCTGCCGCCAAGTCATCTCCTCTCTGACCTCGCCTCAAGGATGGGACCAAATCCCCGCCTCTTCATTTTTCCTTCTGCGCCACAGCAACATGCCGCCCGACTGAAACAACAAAGGCTATCCCGACACTCCCCCCTTCCTTCGTGCCGAAATTTAGTTCTGCCTGCATATTTGTGGATGGGTAATTTGAACAGAATGGGAGAGCAAGGTCTACAGCGGAGGATGCAGCAAGAAGAGTGTACTGCTCGGGAATTACTGGGCGCGATAAATCTTGCAGGCAAGCAATCACCGGCAGTTTCCGTACTATCCGTCACCTGATTCGGGTCGCACCCATGTTCTTATCCCTTTAATTCTGTTTCTAATCTGGGTCCTGCAAGTCCTCAGCATCAAGTGTTGGCGAATTACATTCCTACCACTACAATTTACCGTACTTCCAATCGTCATTTTGCCTTTATAAGCCTTGACATAATATCGAAGCTATTCCCATCCGGTTGTAGGTCGATGTATTCGTCGTCTGTGCCATACTGCGCACTCCTACCCCATCCGACTCGTTCGGGGATCGTACGTAGCAACCCGTGATCGTGAGTTATCCCAACGATACGGATGGGAACGTGTGGCTCGACCGTCGTCAGCATCACGAGTTGATCCCTGTACACGGAAAGGATCAAGGCGTCACGCCCCAGTGCAAAAGACGGACGGAACACGCACGAATGCATCCACGCGTCAAGATAAGCCTCTTCGAAAGGCGCCCAGGCACCTTGTCCAGCGATAAATGCACCCCAAAGGCGTTCGAATTCAGTAAGGACTAGCGCCAGGACCGTCTCGGGTTCGAGCCCTTCTGCATTCCCGGAGAGAAGGGATAGCGCAGGCACAGGCGCGGGGGTGCATACGTTGATCCCACACCCTTTTCCAGCGCCAAGAAAACCCAAAAAAAAAAAAAAGGGTTCAGAATTTGGTTAGCTTTGCAGCGCGCTCATCTAAAGCAACCCCCCGCGCGCGCGCACCGACGACGATGTCCACGTTCCCGTCAGAGAAACTCGCATTGACCAAGATGCCGCCGACTTTTTTCTTCGTGCTGCCCGCGAGGGTGAGGACGAGGGCAAGTCGATGTACACGTCATTAGGCCACTTGAGCCGCACGCGCGCACCACGCTCAGGGCCCAGTGCGCGCGCGTCGCGGCACGCGTTGACGATGGCCAGCCCGACGAGGTACTGTACCAAGACGAGGCGCGGCGCGGGGAACGCCGAGCGCTGCGCGCGAACGAGGACGGAGAACTGCAGGCACCCTGGTGGCGAGAGCCATACGTTGGAGCCGCGGCCACGCCCTGTGAGCTGGAAAGTCGCGAGGGAGACGATCGGCGTGGGAAGAGACGTTAGGAAGCGGGGGTTTCTAGGTTGGAGGAATTGAGTCGACGAGCCGGGCACGGGTACGGCGATAGGGGATGATGATGATGGGAATATAGTAAGGTGTGACGAGAAGGGCAGAACGTACCTCTCCAACATTGTCTGCGTGCTCGTCACTGCTTCGCCGTAGAACAGAGCCTCACCTACTCCCCAGCTGTCGTCCGCGGCACGCACCCGGTCCCCTCGGACCTCCCCGAGCACGGCAAAGTACTTCTCTGCGTTGAATCTTGGCGTGAGCTCTGCTGTAGGTAAGACGTCCGGAGGAAGGACGACGACGACCCGTGGTGCAGCCGGCGTCATCGCCGCATGCGACGTTGCATCTGCGAATGCCCTCGCCTCCGCAACCAGGCGAGCGCCGTGCTCAAGAGTCGTGGCCCAGTGGAAATGAAACACGTCTTCCTTGTCCTTGATCGCGCCCACCTCTGAAACACTGGATGCCTCAGCGCCAGCGGAAAGGCCTAGCCTTCTTAGCACGGTCTCGGCGATGTGCCTCCTCCCGCGTGGGCACAACAGAAACTGAGGGAGGGGATGTCCCGGGATGGTGGGAGGGGGATCGGGAGAGTCGCCGGGTATCGTCTCTGGCGGCACGGACAGCCCAAGTGATTTCAACGCATATTGGAGCAGTGCGTACACGCTTGCAGTGTCCTCCGTGCCATCGATATAAGGAGAGACACCCCAGAAGGCTGCGCGTCCGGATCCGATGGGCACTTGGATACCCGCGATGGCACCGACGTCCTCCCAACGGCCCAGAATGGCTTCATTATCAGACGAGGCGCGCGTCAACTCAAATGAAACACTGGCCGGCCGAAGACTTGAAAGAAGCGAGCCCGTCCGAAGGAGTATAGATGAGAGTGGTAAGAGGGCTGGGACGACCTGCGGCGATTCGGGGACTATAGCAGTGCCTGACGTAGCATCCCACAGATCAAAGCGATCCCGAGCTGGACGGTGTGACAGAAAGGAGACGCCCAGACCAATGCCCAATACGCGCCCTCCAGCGTCGACATACTCTTGGATGGCTTCTTGAGCCGGTGGAGAGAGCGACAGGGGTGCAGGAGAAGTATCAGGCGGTGTAAGGATGAGAAGAGCGCAAGAGGCAGTCCAAGGCTGCGTGGCTAGGGATGCAGGAATGATGGATTGAACGGTATAGAAAGGAGACAGAATGGAACGTAGGGCATTTGACAGTCCGGGGGAGGCGGACGAGGCGTATACAAGGACATTCATGGTCGCAGACCAGGTCGGGAAGTCGACCGCCCAGCGCTGCACCGACAACCAGCCAGTTGGTTAAAATTTGAGGTAGCCTACGAAAAAAAGGAACCCGACTAGGCAATAAGAAAGATGTTGTACCGTCGACGGGGGTCGAACCCGCAACCCCCACCTGCCTTATTCCATGTGCGTATAGGAAGGTGATGCGCTGCCATTGCGCCACGACGGCATAATAAGAGAGGCATTCAAAAGATATCTAGTCGTGCGATACCATCGAGAGAAACAAATTCACAGAGGCTAAGGAAAAGGTCCCAAAAAAACGGAGTAACGTATAGCAAGGTGAGGATCCTTTTGCAGCAGGGTTCTATTCCCGTGCTCGTTTATATCAAAAAAAAGTGGCACAATACAATAAGAGTCAATTCAGTTGTGGTCCTCAACCAGGCTCTTGCTCGACTTGAGATCTGCCTCTACCATCTCCTTAACGAGCGAGTCGAAATCGACGTGACGTTTCCAGCCGAGTAGCCTCTCAGCTTTGGCAGGCCTTCCCAGGAGCTGTCTGTGAACGATCACGTTAAGTTTAATGCAGAAAGTGAGGATCTGTTGACGCTCACTCGACTTCAGCAGGACGGAAGTACTTGGGATCGACTCGAACCAGGATTCGGCCGCTTTGAGAGTCTTTTCCGACCTCATCGACGCCCTCTCCAGACCATCTACAGGACAGCGGTTAGCAAAATTGCGCCGCTGAACAATCGGGCGAGCAGCTGACTGTATTTCCACGCCAAGGACGCGGAAGGCCTTCTCGACGAACTCTCGCACGTAGTGCATTTCGCCAGTTGCGAGGACGAAATCCTCAGGGGTGTCTTGCTGGAGCATGCGCCACATGCCCTCTACATAGTCACGAGCTGCGGGGAGGGCAAACAAATGGATTGCGGTATGACGTTGTCCCATCTCAAATTGGCGCGGAAAGGCTCACCGTGGCCCCAGTCACGTTGCGCATCGAGGTTGCCAAGGTAAAGGCATGCCTGCTTCCCCAGGCTGATGTCCGCGACGGCACGGGTAATCTTGCGCGTCACGAATGTACGCCCACGACGGGGACTCTCGTGGTTGAAGAGAATCCCATTGCAGGCGAACATGTTGTAGGCCTCACGATAATTCTTGGTGATCCAGAACGCATACAACTTTGCGACGCCGTATGGGCTGCGCGGGTAGAACGGAGTCTCTTCATCTTGCGGGACGGACTGTACGAGGCCATAAAGCTCGGATGTCGACGCCTGATAGAACCGCACATGGCTCTGGAGGCCACAGGTGCGCACGGCGTCGAGCAGGCGCAAAGTGCCGAGCGCGTCGACATCGCCCGTATACTCCGCCATGTCAAAGGAGACCTTGACATGCGATTGCGCACCAAGGTTGTAGATTTCGGATGGTTGGACCTTCGCTATGATGTACACGAGGTTGGTACTATCAGATAGGTCTCCATGGTGGAGCTCGAATTTGTTCTTGCCTGTTCTCTCGCGTGATCAGCACGCGAAAGGGGAACATTGTAAGACCATGAAGCGTACGTTCGTGTTGATCGAAAAAGAGATGATTGATACGCGAGGTGTTGAAACTAGAGGAGCGACGGATGATGCCATGCACCTCGTACCCCTTCTCGAGCAACAGCTCTGTCCTGATGAATAAAGCTCCAATGATAGAAGTCACACGAGCTTAACCCAGACACGAACAAATATGATCCATCCTGGCCGGTGACGCCTGTGTAGACACGAATGTTGGTCTGCTGGCAAGCCTGGAAGAAAGGAGCTCACCTGAGATCAAGGCAACTTTGCGTTTATGCCATTCTTCAGGGGAAGGAAGGCTACGCAGGGCGAAAGGGGTGGTTGTGGCAGGGGTGGCCATAAGTGTACGTGGAGTGGGGAGACTGTGGGGAGGTAAAGAAAATAAATTCAGGTATGTCACGGCAGGAACGGGGGTTGAGACGGCGGTGAAGATGCGGCGAGGCGAGGACTTAAACAGGGCTCGAATTTGAGGGACGTGACAGTTGACGCCCTTGAACACGCACTATACCGTATTATGCACAGCAACCAGATTCGGAATAACACCTCGACATCATGCTAACTGCGAGAGTGTCGTATTATTGTAGTCGGATCGGTAAATCATATTCTACGCTTCCGCCACCCGCCACCCGATTGCAGCACTGTGATCCTTGCAGGTATCCTCGGTCTTGATCATCGCGCGCGCCGCGCTGCACGCCCCAAGAAAACTAAATCTCAATCACCTCCGGTCAACCTAGGCTCGGCACTCCCTCTTGCAGGGTCGCCCCACCTCAGTACCATCCAGCGATTCCCTCTTACATCCGTTCGCTCCTCCATTTTGAACGACATTGGTGCCGTTTGTCCTCGGATTTGCCCGTCCAATTCTCGCATCGGTGTCATAATGCTCGACCAGCCACTGGACCGTGTCACGCAACGCCACTTCGAACGGCGTGAATTCGAATTTGCCCCCAAGGAGAGACAGCAGCCTTTGGTTCGAGGCGGGTTTACGGAATTGCCCGTCCGCACGTGAGGGATCGAACTAGCAATACTCGCTCAGACACCCAGAATCCATCAGGAGTGAATCAGACGTACCCTGTATTCTCCCTCAAAGCCAACAGCTGCAACAATAGCATCGGCAACTTGCTTGATGCTGACCTCTTCGTCCTCCCCGACTGTAGGCAGAATACACTCAGGATCATCATCAGTCGATCGAACTTGAGCATCCTACCCGAAAGGATGACAGGTTCAATGTCGTTGTACTCGCGCAATTGCCAGATAAATAACTTGGCAAGGTCGTAGGAGTAGATAAACTGCCGGAGGGGTCTGCCAGAGCCAAAGACAACGAAAGGAGTGTTATTTCCTATCTGGGGATGTCAGAACTAGTTTAAGCTGCGAGAATCGAAACCCACGTTTAGCTTGTAGGCACTTGTGTATTAAAGCAGGGACGACGTGTGAGTCTTCGAGGTCACTGACGAACATGGATCGTCACAAAACCAGGCACCGGAAAATATGATGGCGTACAAATTGTCATTGGGTCCAAATACGTTTGTTGGTATAGCAGAAGTGAAGTTGGATCCATGTTCATCGTGGTATGCACTGACATTCCTCTTCAGCTTCAGGAACGGTTGACGAATATATCACGTGACGCACCGGTTAGCAATGTCGACCATCCTCTTTGCGTGCGCGTAACCGTAGTTGCTCTCATGAGGTGGTCCGAGATGGATCTTGGACTCGTCGAGAGGGTATGTAACCTCATCCGGGAACACACAGGTTGATAGACACGAGATCACTTTGGATACCCCGGTCTTATGTGCGCAAAGGAGTACGTTATCGTTGATGAGCATGTTGTCTCGCAGGAAGGAGAGCTAAGGACACATCAAATCAAAGTTCTGCAGGTGCCACGTGTAAACCCTTTCCTACCTTGTATCGCATATTACGGTATAGGCCGCCGACTACCGGAAGAGTCACACAAGGCGTCCATGATACTCGGAGTGACGACGAGCGACGTACCAAGCGCGGCAAGGTGAATGACATGTGTAGGTTTATACTTGTCGAAGACCTTTGCGGCCTGCTCTGGATCCCTGCCGAGGTCACCAGGTTAGGGATGCACCTTTGGTGTGCTCAAACGACCGCATCAGAATACACACCGTAGATCAGCGTCCTTGGTGCCAATGAACACCCAGGTCTCACCCGAACGCCTTCCGAATTTCGAGCCCTCCGGTTCTGTCTCGATGACGTGTTGTATCGCGTGACCGACGAGGCCAGTGCCACCGGTGACGAGGATGACAGGTTGGGGCTGCTCAATTGCCATGAGAAATTCTGAGGGCGAGGTGTGGAGGATGTAACGAAAATTTTGATATATATCATGATCATGATGATGTATTATATTTGGCAACGTAGGAGGGCCCCTATTTCGTTTCGCAGAGAAACGAAACAAACGATCGCCGGCGATGGCACCACTCCAGGTCCCAAAACTACCGCTCCGCCTATCATATCTCGACAACCGCCGCCTGCCACATCTCGACCGAGTGGGAGTAGTGCCGCGCCACGCGCCGAAAGCGGCTTTAATATAATCCATTAATTTCGTGGGTCATAACTCAAACCCTCGCAGCAGCGAATTTCGCTCGGACGGACCACACAACCCGTGGCAAGTGGCGTGGCGTGGCGTGTCGTCTTGGCGAGGTCCGACCATCATGCCATTCAGTTCAGCCCTCATCTCCAGTTGGTATCGCTTACTCAGATGATGTACACAAGGCCGAATAAATTCATTTACACAAATGACTGGCTTCCTATGGCCGCTATCTTCCATAAATGGCCTGTAGGGTGTCGTCTTTAGCTGGGTGCCAAGCGATTCACGTCGATTAACGTTGGCGCGGGCGACATTCGTGATTCCCGACCAGCCTGTCAGAGGCTGATTCCTTTATGCTACGTGCGCTTTCAAGCTGACACCCTGACCCCAGCGGGCGCCGGGAGCCCCACACCTATATTATGACAAGGTGGCACTTGAACGTGCCGATGACGCCCACGCCGTAGGCGGCGGTAAGGGTCCTTAGTAGACCTACGACGTCCCCTGATACAAGGCAATATGTATTAGTCCCCGCACACAGCCCCTTAGATCCGATGGATCGAACTGGTAGGACTCCACGTTCGCCAATTCTTTATAAAGAAATCTTGTAATTATCAGAGGTGACGCAGTAGACAATGGCAACAATGTGATCTCAACGTGCGGTAGCAATTCAGATCGTTTCCTTGGTGCCGCCATCCCTACACTCAAGTCGTCTGTGGGTGCGATGTATGAACCACCGCGACCCCTGCATCGGTGACAAAGGCGCCTAGCGGTACCATTGTCACAAGTGTCGCCTGTATCAGTCTGTCCGAGAAATCGACAGACGGCAGGTGACACTGTCTTCAGGAAGCTCGGTGAAAATTGCAATTCAAATGGGGAGGCATCGGCAAGTGCATCTAGTCATGGGGACTGGTATGTATCACGGCAGTGGGACGTCATTGAATCCTCATCATTGGAATGTACATGTGGTAGGAGACCTTAGGGCTAATGGTGGCTGCTGTACAAACCAGACATGATACCTCTCTTTGCAGGACACAGGACTTGGACAGGTTCAGAGCAGTGTGTGGAGCTGAGACTTCCCGCGGTTACGGCCCCGGGCCGGTTCCGGGCCGTAGCCGAGATTGGCTAGAGTTG